GGAAGTCGTTTGACCGCCAAGTCGAGGGCAAGACCCGGTCCGTCGTCGACCTCTGGGAGGCGGGACATGAGGATCAAGTCATAACCGAGGCGCTTGAAGCCCTCTCCGACCTTTGGTCTTGTTACGAGACGCTCTCCGTAAGTGTCCAGGTTAGGATCAATAGCAGTTTGCTCATGGACATCTTAGCTCACTCAAGAGCAAGACACGACACCCAAAGACACCGCCAACCAGCTCAAGCTACAGCAGGCTCTCTTTGAGCAGCTAGCAATGCAGGATAGTTCCCACCCTATCCTCGCAATCGTCGCTGGCGAGACCGAGAACTCGCGGCTGGAGGTGGTCCGATGCTACGTTGCCTTCATGCGCATGTCCAAAGGTCCTCAGAAGGGTGCTTGCCCCTATTGCCTCTGCGATCCCGCGGCTAGCGAAGCAGATGCCCACAAGGACCACTCGGGTCACTTTGTCCAGCATATCGTGTCGTGCGAGCTCAAGCACAACCCCAACACTTTTCGATGCTGCATATGCAAATCCTTGGTCCCAGTGCCGCCCAGACGCTCCAAAAAGTTCTCCGGTCCAAAGAGCAAGATCCCGGTCACGGACAACGCCCGGGAGGACCACGAGATGGACGAGGAACAGAGGCAGCAGATCCAGGACGACTTTGACGAGCACTGCGCTGCGTGCTTTGAAACCCTACGCTGCAAGCTGTTGGGAGAGTCAATGGAGGACGAGGACAATGACGAGGAAGAGAGTGATAGTGAGGACGAGGGAAATCAAACTGACGTGTCGATGAGGTTCGTATATTACTCTTCCCCATTGATCTCTCTGGCTCACCTTTCACGTAGGACTGCACCGCGCAGCATGTCGCGAGTTAGTGACGTCTCCATGGGGTATGTCGCTATGATTTGTGAGAAGGCCCAACTGATTTCCTTCCCAGTTCTGTTAGCGAGGCTTCCGCCGCATCGTCCGTGGTGATCCAACTTCTTCCTTCCGCATCTCATCTCCCTTCAGGGCCGACGAAGAACGCGACGAGGCTCTTCCGACCTTGAGCGGCGCTGGAGTCCTCAGCATCAAGATCAAGTTTAACCGGAGAGAACGTCGACCTTCTACTTTTGTCCGTGCTGCCTTTTTGAAGAGGTTTTACCGTGGTGCAAGCGCTTTCTGTGGGTCTCCACCCGATATATCCCGCTGATTTCTGATTTCCTTTCCTCAGAGTATTCGACAACTTGACGGTGCTCCGAAACCACATGTGCACGCATTTTGGACAGCGGCAGGTGCCCACCATGGACTACGACAAGCTCGTCAAGTGCGGCTTTCCTCGCTGCGAGAAGGACGAGCCCAGGACACTGGGCAAGGCGCTCGAGCATCTCCATCACCAGCACTCCTATTCTCTCCTCCGTTGTAACGCACACTGCACGGATGACGTTTGCGATCCCCTAGCGTGCACCGTCGACCACCACAACAAGAGTTGTTTCAAGCTGGCGGCGGATTTCCTCTTTCACGACGATGCGCGCATATGGTCCCACGATACTATCCCCCAGGAGCTGCGTCGTAAGATGCCCGCCACCACTTTGATCGACTTTCGCCGCGGGGACCAGGCAAAACGCTGGTGGGCGCGTATCTTTGACGATATGAACGGCCTTTTACCCGAGAACGGGAAAAAGAAAAAGAAGAAGGACAAGGAGATTGACCCGTCGACGCTCCGGGTCGTTCCCTTCGAGCCCAAGCGCCTACCAAAGAAGAAGAAGGCCGGCAAAACCGCCGCGACACAGGCGCTCGCGCTCGCGACACCGTCCCCCAACAACTGGCGCCTGCGGCTCTGTCTCACGGAGATCGCCAAGGACGCGCGATTCAAGGCTCTGAACGCTCCTGCTCTGGCTGACGCGATCGACTCGGTAACGGTGCTCGTGGGGACCAAGAAGGAGGACATGCCAGCGTGTGGAATCGAGTTCACAGGGCCGGTGTTCGCCCGGTTCCTTATCGCGGTCAAGAAGTGGAGGCGCCAGACAGAGATTGAAGAGTGTGTGAAGGAGCTCGTCAAGAAGGGCCTCGTCACGGGTCGGCTTCGAGAGACGCTGCTGGCTGAGGAGCATGTCGACTTGCAGGGGCTTCTTACGACTTCCGCAGGGGACATGGGGGAGTATGAGCTTGTAGTAGACGAGGATCAATGGGCGGCCATAGTGGCGCACATCGAGTCGTATTTGGAGCAGAATCAGTAGCAGCAGGCCCCGGGAAGCTCCACCAAAGGATTGTCCGGAAATTTTCCGAAAATCGGCCTCAAAAAGCCACTCGATTTGGGCAGTTCAGGCCTCAAAAAGCCACTTTCGGACAAGGTTTGTCACGTGGGTCCAAATTTTTCGCCCGCGCCGCGCCTGGCGGCGCGGCCCGGGTGACATTTCATATAATGTCCGGTATGAAGGCCCTTGGTGGACAAAAGGTGTTTTCTTGTTGCCAGCACCATCATTTCCGTGACATCTTCGAAGATCTTGCAAGATTTGGCAAGATTTTCCAGTTTGTTCAAGATCTTGGAAGATATTGGATGATTGTCAACTTTCCCTGGCATTATTTTACCATCATCTTGCAAGATCTTGTGAATTTTCTCCCCCCAGGACCTTGAAAGTTTGTGCAAGTTCCACTGACTCATTTTGACTCCACTGATTTGCAGCGAATGTTCAAAGATTTTGAAGGATTGAAAGTCAAAATATGGCCCATTGAGTCTAATAGGGATGCAAGATCTCACCAGAGTTGGTGGTGCCGTGGTGGCCGAGCTCAAGCCGCATACTGCGATCAATCATTTATGTTGAAGGGCGCAAAAGTGTGATCTATCAGTTTCCTGGCGGTTCGGCTGCCAACGGATCAACAGCCTGAGTGGGGGGCAATCAGAAAATCAGTGATTGGCATGTGGGATTTACTGCGACACTTGCCGCCTTTAACCTTCCAAGATCTTGTGACACACCACAGAATTTTTGATTCCAGTGTCAATTTTTTATCTGTTTCCACTTGTTGTCTGACTCACAAGATCTTGCATCCTTGCAGTGCAGAAAATATCACTTGAACCCTGCTTGAAATACCACATCGTGCAAAAACTAGCAAGATATCAATGGATGTTGCAAGAACTTGATTCAACTTTCAAAATGAGCCAAATCTTTCAAGATCTTGAGACTTTTGTTGAGATTTGAAGAAAGAACCACACATGCCTGCACAATTCCAGGTTTTGTCCACCAAGGACCCTCAAAGTCCGGGCACACACCTGGTCCGGGGTAGTCTCTGTAACAGACATCGATATCAGTGACGATCAAGATGTACTGATATGATGTCTGTTGCTATACGCGGGGTGGTTGTTGACCAGTCTTTTCGCTTATGTAAAACTGCCAGCAGCCATTTGATCTCCCTGTATCCCGCGCTTTCCGCCCTCGTTCCTCGCTCATACACACTCGGATTGCCCCAGAAACACGTCCATCTCATACCCCAGCCTCCCCTGATACTCTGGATCCAATTTTCAGCCCTGTCACTGCCCGAATTCCAGGCTGGAAGGACACATTGAGTAGCTCACAACAAGGCCCATTCACCGGTGTCTGGATGATGCGGAGCTGCTCTCTCATGTGGGGCTAGTCGCCGAAGTACCCTCCCACTGCTCTCTGACCGTTTTTAGCCCAGCAATGGCATTCAAGATGTCGTCTGACACGAGCAATTGTGGGAGGGGGATTGTCATGGGGTAGAGTGGTCCCGGTGCGTGTTTCTGTCCTTCAAGCCTTCCTTGGTCCTAAGTATACGTGCAGTGCCGCTTGAATACACCCCGGACGACCCTGAAAAGTGTTCCATTATCCCCACAGACGACATCGACTTTATTCCTTGCACGCACTACCCCCTGACCTCAGCTACGCTGGCACAGCTTAGGGCGGCCTTTCAGAGCCTAGAGGGGGTCCCTTCTTTGTCTTTCCCGCTGCCTCTGCGCCCAGAGTGGCCCAACGAGGCGCTGGATCGTCGGGGTGGGCGTCGGGTGTCCGGGAGTGAGCCTTCTCTCGGCCTCTAGTGCAAAATTGTGGTAGAATTACGCTTGAATACATGTATCCCCCTCTCTACTGTCTCCTCCGATGCACCTCATTCATCCTCCTTCTGAGGCCTTCGCCATCCAGTCGACTCCAGCGAGCCCGAAGCCCAATGTGTCCCTTTTTCGTCGTATCCGGCATTCCGGTCGATATTGGTTGCATCTAATAAGAAGCATGAGATGCAGGCTGCGGTTGAACGCGCTTCTGGGCTGAGAATCCGAGCGCAGACGCGTCGAATCGCGAGCAAGAGAGATATCAAGCGGGTGCACGTGATGTACTTTTACATAAGCTAAAGGCTGGTCAACAACCGAACTGATCACGGAATCAGACTAGGTCCGGGGGGGTCTCAAAAAGCCACTTTCCGGACAAGGTTTCTGATTTTTGGGCCTCGAAAAGCCACTTCTCGGACAAAGAAATTGCGATTTTTCGCCCTCAAAAAGCCACTTTTCCGGACAATCCTTTGGTGGAGCTTCCCGGGGCCTGTAGCAGCACATCATCGATTTGTTTCTTGACCAAAACGCTTGCCCTCCACCATGACTCTGATTCACCCCAAGCCTTGGTCTTCTTGCCCAGGGCCTCCCTGCACGAAGCGTGGTCGCACCGACCAATCTGAAGACAAAGAGGAGATGACGTGGCAATAAGCGAGGTAGTGAGAAGCGCAGTCTTGGTGTGTGCTTCATCCTTCATCCTCTTTCGCGCTCCCTGACTGTCACCGCAAAGCCGTCATGGAGGTGAGATCGTTGCTGCCCGGACCAAAGCCTCAGAAGGCCAACACGCGCTGGTGTCCCGCCCTCCCTGACTCGACGGCCATCAAGCCCAGACGTATCCTCTTCCTTCCGTCCCTCACCTTTCTTGGGCTGTTGCTACTATTCCTGTGAATCCCTCACCCTCGACGGCTCGCTCTTTTCGTCCAAACTCGGATCTAAGGCACCAGGCCGAATATCGCTGTAATTTATCGGGCACATGGTGTAGAGGTTCATCACTCTTGCTTTGCAACAGCTGGCGCTGGTTCGACTCCTAGTGTAATTGTAAGCGGTCCTGGGTTCAAGTCCCAGTGTGTCCATCTTTTGCTCCTACTATTCCCTTTTTCCGTCTCGCACAACCCCTTGGCTTCTGCCATGTGAACAAGAAAGCCAAGACCCAAGCGGACCGACCAATTTTCCATCTGTATCCAGTTTTTTTGGTGACTGCGCTGACGCCTTTCAAAATGCTCTCTGAACGAACAGCACGGACGTAACAGCAATGACACATTACGGTGGATGGTTGAAGGTGCAGGAGGCGAAGTGCCGGGCTCAGGTGGGAGATGAGCAACACCGAATTTGGGCATGGGGGTCGTTGTGTCGCATTGTGGCACAAGTGACAACCTGAGCAAAGCGCGAGGGGGATTTCAAGCTAGCGGTCGAGAGCCTACCGAATCGGATGATCAGGATGATGAGAGTGGGTACGGAATATCCAATGAAGACTGATCAGAGGATGCCGGCGGAACAGACTTGCCCAACTGGAGAGCTTGTTAGAATTTGCCTTAAACTTTTACATAGCACACCGCATAATTCATGGCATTCCAAAGAAGAAGAAAACCCGACTGAGACTAGACAAGCCTTGCATCTTGCCTCGTCCGAGTCCAAAACTAACCCGAATCAGAGTCCACTTGAAGAGGGCCATTGAGATGCATCTCCGACTGGAGACGAGCGTAGCATTGTTGCACGGCTTTCTGCTGCTGCTCCCACGAACGAATGAGGTCGGGTGGAGGAGAGGGTGCTGCCTGCGATGAAGAATTGATCACATGTTCGACGGATAGGATTCCTGACCTACCCGAATCCATTCCAAAATCGCGTCAAGATATCTGAGCTGCACAAGGCCATGCTCGTGCTGGTGCAAATGATATTCAGTGTCCGGTTTGAAGATTGAACAAGCCTGCGCAAGGTCAAGATCCTTCAGTGCATCCAATAACTCGGCATCTGGATTGCAACGACACAATAGTGAGATCCCGGATTTATGCCTATTGCAATTCAAATATCAGTTCGAAGGGAAGAAATAGGTACTTGCGCACGAGCAAAGTTAAACGCTGTGAAGTTCCTTTGTAGAACCGTGTCCTTTAGGCGTCGTATCCATTGGAGGACAGCGAAACGGCGGATTTCTTCGCGAGGCATGTACAGTGGACCACATTTATCAGGATCGTCGAGAAATCGCAGGATAGCCTTCATATCCACCGAATCGGCTCCTGATACCTTGGTAAGCGACACCAGTACGTCCCATTTCAGTAAGAGTAAGTCCAAAATGCCGTGGATGTCGAGGGAGTAAAGCATTCCGGGCCGCTCGGATAGCACATTCCAAATGCGCAACACGGAAAGGATATCTGGGCTTTGAAGATACTGGGGATGTAATAAATCGGCGGGATAATCTCGAGGACTATCACCATCCTGCCAGAAATATGAGCACACACGGAAGCGACACGGAGGAGTAAAAAACCGACTGGACTGGACTGGAATGCAAGCGCCAGTGTATAAAATTTGCCCCAAGTTCTGATCAGGTCCAGTGGTGCGGGTGAGAATCGCTGCAGCACTGAGCATCGACAGTTGCGAGGAAATCATATTTTACCTCGAGCCAACTGATAACGGTCTGTGCCTGGTCTGTTGACCTCCAACGCGGGGTTTGGGCGAATACCTCATGCTGGAAATTGACACTCCAGAAAAGAGGGAGCAGTCCGTCTGATGGAGGGATTTCCCAGAAGCGCAACATAAAGGCGGTTGAGATCCTCCTGTTTGACGTTTCACTTTGTGTTTGCTGATCTCAATCGAGATGACCCACCGAAAGTTGATAGGCTCCAGAGATCCGGATAAGAGTGCACAAGCCATATCATGCACCAGCGTATTCAGCAGGTCTTCCCCCGAGATACAGAATGATAATGACCGCTGCGAGTCCACCAAAAAGTCGCCGAAAGAGGCATGCAGCAATTCAACCGGTTTAAGATACCCCAAAATGCGTGCAGGGTGCACAAGGACCACAGCATGTAGGCCGCGTAAAACAGCACGAGACGTTCCTTGTCGCATTCGCAAGATACTATCGATTTGTTCGGCGTCAAAATTTCCTTTCACAACGGCATGCAAGACACGAAGGAGTGTCGGCTTGTTGGGGATGGACGACAAGATTTGAGTGTACAAGTCGTCGAGAGGGGTCAGACTGCTGGGATCCAGACTGAGAACCGCGTCGAGTCGCTCTGCAGGATGTGAATATTCGTCGTCGACGCAGCGAAGAACGGTCGACGCGTAGATGAATGTTCCGGACGACTTTTCGATCAGGTGTTCAATCGTATTTTCCCCAGGCCAGCGTTCATCCAGCAGCGTTCCGCGGGCGGTATGAATCTGCTGCACTCGGGAAAACCCCTCCGTAAGATATCGGCGAATGTCTGCGAGCGCAGCATCATCCGCTCGTATCTCGAGACCACGACAGACGTCCGAGCTCTCTGGGGCTTCGAAGACGTCACGGAGATGGGGCTCAGAGCGACTGCACACGAGGATATGGAGGGGTGCATTGCCAGAATGCAAGACGTCGATCAAGGCACGTATGAGCGCAGTTTGCGTCCCACGGTCCTCGCATTCGTCCAAACCATCAATGACCAGGATGGGTCGAGACGCTAGCGGAGGTACGTCTCTGAACGGCTGGACTAGGAGCTTCTCGAGCTGGTGGTGTATTGTCTTCCCCAGGACGAGCCTGTCCGTCTCGACGGCACGCTGGATCCTGGGGCCGAGTTGGGGAAATGTGACAGTGAGCTGATACACCAGAGTGGGCACCAAGTTTTTCCAGGTACCGCGGCTGACGCTCCCCCGCTTGAAGAACCAGGAACCGCCCAGTTGGCCGCGGTCGTGGCAGCTCGCGGCAAACTGCTGTGCGATCGCAGACTTGCCAATACCAGCGCAGCCATGGAGCCAGAGCATCTGGTTGTCGCTGGGCTGCTCCATGGACCAGTTGTCCAGGTATTCCAAGATCGCACTCCGTGTGCCTGGATGACAGGAAGGATCCGGGGGTCGCTCGGCCGAGTCATGCATTGCATCCAGGGACACGGCGCGGTATAGGAGGTCGAGGCCTTATCCGAGTCAGAGCGCAGGTGGAGAGTCGAGGCATTCGCACGCACCGCTTTCCCCGACGTTGGTCGTATGGGAGACATTCATGTTTCCTGCGAAATTGTTGAAGGTGCTGTTCTGGAACTGGACTGGCCGATCTCCTTCGATGCGTACAACGTTGCCGGGTCCCTGAGTCTGAAGGCGGACTGGACGATCCCCATCGAGGCGCAGCATTGTGAGGTGGTGGAAGAGAGCAAGAGAGGCAGCGTGTGTGAACACTCACACTGCTCAACACTGCCTTGAGGCTTGTACTGCTGATCTCCAACAATGGCAGTGCCATAAGAACACCACGGACAACAGCTTGAAGTTGACCGTTGACGGGCAAGACAGAAGAGACAGAACTGAGGACAATTGGATCTCCAAGGACGTAGACCAATCCGTACCTGAGCGCTGGGGAGCATTGGATTCGCCATGCACGTGATCATCGGTTACCTGCTCCGGGTAGCCTCCGAGACCGACTGCGAATGACCCGCCTCCCGCCGGACGCAAAATTAAATCCGCCCGCCAAAATGCTCCAAAGTAAGTATCGAGTTCATCAGGCGGGGGGGCGCTGACGTAGGATGTGTGCATACTACATGTCCACCGAGCAGGCCGAAATCCACCATGAGGAACTCGGAATGGATCGAAACTGGCCATGGGTTGCATGAGACGCCACCTTGTTCGAGACGGCCCTAACTCCGCACGAGCCAAGCCAAGCGATTCATTTCCTCGGCGGAATAATGAATCACAGAGAGTGCCCGCGGTCCGTGTCGTTGTTGGTATCGTCAATTCAATGTGTCCGTGTCGGGTGTGGCGCTGAGGAATTCTTCATTTTCCTTGCTTGCTTGCTTAACTACCGCCAACAGCTGCCGGCATCTCCGGCGTCAGCATGTCTCCGAATGAGTTTGTTCGTTGTTGATGCCGATGTCCTCGTGCGTAGCGATTTTTAGCGCTCCATGCAATACCTCCGTTCCCGAGTCGGAAGGGAACCTTCCGTCTAAAGTAGAAGTAGAGATAGTGAGTAGGTATTAAGAAACAGAAACCCGGGCGCCAAAATCGAAGGTGGTGGAGCGCCCGACTCCAAGGTCCAAGACGGATGCCTGCCAGAGTTATCGGGCGAATTAGGTATAGCGCTCCTAACACAGAGAATCAGAGAGAAAGGGGTAGTATGACTCGGGTGACAGTCAAGCTTTTTCTTATCATCAGATTGAAGGGACCAGCAAGAGCGTAAATGGACAGGTGGTGATGTCAGTCCGAGGGCGCCGAGTTCTCGCGTGCGCAAGACACGCGGAACGGGTGGAGACTGACTCGCCCGAGGTATGTTATATAGGTGGGGACTTTCGCCATCGAAATACGACGAGTCGGACGCGGAACGGTCCCTTCTCCAGGAGAGCTGTTTTCTTCAAATCCCTTGAGAACGCAAACGCGGATCCCAGCACGCTCGAAAAAAATTCAGGACCCTGAGATGAAAATCCAAAACACCAACGGGAGCGAGTAAGTAGTAGCGAGACAGCGACAATCGAACGTAAGCCAAGGCCTCTTGAAGCGAGTGACAAGCCTGTGGAATGGCCGAAGTTCGGGAGGCAGAGACAAGGGCAGATTCCACCGGATGGTCAGGGAGGACTGTGGAGCGGCTAACGTCACTAGAGACGGGATTGGAGAAGCTTCGTGGACAATTAGGAGAGTATTATTCTGCTGAGCCTGCAGAGTCCAGCCCCAAGAGACTCTCTGGTCTGGCTCGTGGTGTGGTGGCGGGAAGAAAAAGGTGACTCGTGGCTGTGGTGATGCGCCTTGCTCTTGACTCCCACCGTCATCACACGATCTTCGCAAGGCGGCCAATTTCCAGCTCGATACGCGGCGATGGACTTTTCTCGCTCCCGACTCGGACTGGCATTTCAGCCGTCTTTCGTCCCTCCGAGGTCCATTCCGGATACGTGAATGAGCTGCCAAACGCATCCAGATC